AACTCAAGTAGCCATCTTCCATAACAGTGGAGACAGGGATTCTTCCCCCTTTCCTCACCACAATCCTCACTCGCGAGAGATCGTGTAGGCTGTAAGTGACATCAATAAAAACCCCACAGATTTTCCCAATTTTCTTGAATACGTCAAGACATCAAAGATGCACCGGGAGACCCACCATGTTGACCACCAAAGTTTCGCCGGGGAAACGAGGGTCGAGACACCTATCGTGCTCCACCCACCTGTCTAGCTTTAAGAAGTTCCAATCAAATCACTTGTTTCCTCTGACAAGAATTTCTGAAGCTTGAGACTCATCGACAAATCGAAAGAGATATTGCGTCTCCCCCAGTTGCGATATTTTCAGTCCGTCCTTGACATTCCATACCTCTGCTGCCCAGTTCCTAACAGCCTCTGGAGAGCCAACCCATTTGGAGAAAGACCCAATCAGACAAGATTCCAAGAAATCCTTGCGCCTGAGGGTGTGCTCCTGAGACGGCAAGAAGTGCGGCTCCTGCCCTACGTCGAGCTTTCGATGGCATCTTCCCCCAAGTTCTAGGGCTGGCCAAGAGGCAGCTGTGATGAAAGACATGTTTTCCAGCTTTCTAGATTCTAAAGAGAAGTAGGATCTCTCTTTAGAGTCCATCATATCTAATTTCGGCTATCCCAAAATACTATTGTAACTCCGGTGCTGCATGATGCCGGAAAATTCATAGAATGTCGCCTGAATCTGAAGATTTTCGCCCGAAAATAAAAAGAAGCTTCTGATTTAGGAGGAACTGGGATGGGAATGTTCGGAATAGCCTCACGAAGAGGCTGTCTGAAGAAGAAGTATTGAGGTCTGGTCGGAGAAAGCCTTACCCGTCGCCGGAAAATAGTAAATAACGTCGGAATTTGGATGTTCTTGGATGGGAAGACTCGGAACAGCCTCGCGATGAGGCTGTCTGAAGGAGAAAAAGTGAGATCTGGCCGGGATATGCCGCACGCGCCAGCGTGTGGCTGAGAGGTCGCCAGAACTGGGCCGCGCGTGAGTGGTTGTACGCCAGAGATTCTAGCTGGGTTTTGGTCGCGATAGGCTTGTCTCTTGGAGGGTGGTGGTGCGATCCTGAGAATAACCCATCAAGGTTTTCCGGTTGGGTTCCTTCATTGTTACTTGTTACGCCGGAGAACTAGCCTCTATCCTAACCAGAACTAGATCCAACTTAAAAGTCCCTTATAGTAGGAAGAAGTTTATATAGAGCAACCACCTGGTTTTGTTGCTCAGGGGGAGTTTAATGGTTGTGTGTGCAGATTGCGCAGGTCACTATATGATTTGAAACAGTCCCCTCGAGCTTGGTTTGGTAAGTTCAGCACAATTATTCAGGAGTTCGGCATGACTCGTAGTGAGGCTGATCACTCTGTGTTTTATCGGCATTCTGCTCCTAATCTGTGTATTTATCTAGTGGTTTATGTTGATGATATTGTTATTACTGGTAATGATCAGGATGGTATTACTAATCTGAAGCAACATCTCTTTCAGCACTTCCAGACTAAGGATCTGGGCAGATTGAAGTATTTTCTAGGTATTGAGGTCGCTCAGTCTAGCTCAGGTATTGTTATTTCACAGCGGAAGTATGCCTTAGACATTCTTGAGGAGACTGGAATGATGGGTTGCAGACCTATTGACTCTCCTATGGATCCGAATGCTAAGCTTCTGCCTGGACAGGGGAGCCTCTTAGAGACCCTACGAGATATAGAAGGTTGGTTGGCAAATTGAATTACCTCACAGTGACTAGACCTGACATTTCTTTTTCANCGGCATTCTGCTCCTAATCTGTGTATTTATCTAGTGGTTTATGTTGATGATATTGTTATTACTGACAATGATCAGGATGGTATTACTAATCTTAAGCAACATCTCTTTCAGCACTTCCAGACTAAGGATCTGGGCAGATTGAAGTATTTTCTAGGTATTGAGGTCGCTCAGTCTAGCTCAGGTATTGTTATTTCACAGCGGAAGTATGCCTTAGACATTCTTGAGGAGACTGGAATGATGGGTTGCAGACCTATTGACTCTCCTATGGATCCGAATGCTAAGCTTCTGCCTGGACAGGGGGAGCCTCTTAGAGACCCTACGAGATATAGGAGGTTGGTTGGCAAATTGAATTACCTCACAGTGACTAGACCTGACATTTCTTTTCCGGTGAGTGTTGTAAGTCAGTTTATGGATTCTCCCTGTGATAGTCACTGGGATGCAGTTGTTCGCATTCTTCGGTATATAAAGTCAGCTCCAGGCAAAGGATTACTATTTGAGGATCGAGGTCACGAGCAGATTGTTGGGTACACAGATGCTAATTGGGCAGGATCACCTTTTGATAGACGTTCTACGTCTGGATATTGTGTTATAGTAGGAGGTAACTTGGTCTCGTGGAAGAGCAAGAAACAAAATGTAGTTGCTCGATCTAGCGCCGAAACCGAATATCGGGTCATGGCTATAGCGACGTGTGAGTTAGTTTGGGTCAAGCAGTTGCTCAAGGAGTTAAAGTTCGGAGAAATCAGCAAGATGGAACTAGTGTGTGATAACCAAGCTGCTCTTCATGTTGAGTCAAATCCGGTGTTCCATGAGAGGACTAAACACATTGAGATCGACTATCACTTTGTCAGAGAAAAAATACTTTCAGAAGATATTGTAACAAAGTTTGTAAAGTCGAATGATCAACCAGCAAATATTTTCACTAAGTCTCTTACTGGTTCTCGTATTAGCTACATGTGTAACAAGCTCAGTACATATGATGTGTATGCACCGACTTGAGGGGGAGTGTTAGTTTACAGATATGTATAGTGTAGTCTTGTCCCACATTGGAAGATGAGTAATATCTCCTTGTAGTGTATAGCTATAAATAGGGACCTCTTGTATTGTATTTATAATCTAATATCATATAACCTATTTTCTCCCGTGCTTTCTCACATTGACCATAATGTTTTATTCACATTATGCTGGGAAGAATTCAGCACAAATTCAAATTCCTTTTAAGGGGACAAATCTACATAGCTAACTCTCAAACAAATACCAATCATTGAATCCTATGTCAATTTGCTGCTTCATTCTGCTTTTTTAGCTTCTTGTCCGCATGTATTACTTTTACAGAGGTTAGATGTTAAAACTTTGCATATTTATTTCAAGATTTCTTTTTTAAGTCTAAAGGATGTTTATCTATTTTTGTTGTTCTTTGCATAAAGATGGTTTTAGAAGGAAAAAAAAAAACTAATCTACTGTTTCTTGTGTTTATAAATTTTTTTTGGTTCGTGTTACTATTGTTTAAAGATGATTTTCAGAAAAATATTAATCAACTATGTTTTGTTATTCATATTTTTCCTTTTGTTTATATACATTGATGGTTTAAATTGTATAAAGCTGAGAAGTTCGATTTTACATGTGAGGTTTTTATTGTAACCTTTAAAGATGATTAATATTTTTTTCCACAATAATCACAAAGTGGACAATATTGGCATCAGGATTCAATTGCAGTTGTAATACAATTCTTGAAGAAAATAATGTTAGATAATTTTATTACTCAAAGATTCTCCTATGTGGCAGTTTTTGTTGGCAGGCGTGCAGGCTGCAGGGTAATAAGATCACAGGCTGTTTGAAGAACAACCTAACACAAACTATGTCTCCCACTTTATTGCGTTCTTTAACTTATTTTACAACTTAAATTGTATAACTTTGCAATTTTAGAATATTTAATTCCATTTTGTGCTTTAATGTATCGAAAATTTATTGATGAGTTGGTTAAATTAATTAATTTTAGGAAACTAATTATTGAACTTAAACAATTATATCTATAATTCCTATGGAGTTGAAAGTTAATTATTTATTATACGCGTTTTGTGATATTGATATACGATATTCGTGCAACGCACGAACATAGAGACTAGCATTAATAGAAATGCATTTACTCGATGTAGTTGTATATCAAGTGCATGATACTTGACTACTCAAATAAGCTTCTATATCCATAGGGGAAAGCTCCATCAACTCTCCAATCAAACAAGTGTTTTACTTCCGGCTCTAAAGAATCATCTTACCTTTTTGAGCTCCAATATGGTCTTCCTATCCATTCAAATTATTCTATCCATATGATAGATAAGATATCCATAATGTGGGACAATTTCTTATGTATTGCTTTAGCAATCCATCATCATTGGATCCTATGATCTCTCCATTCTCTAATTCTATTTTTCTCATTGCTCTGTGGTTTTGTTACTTGTAGTCTACCTTTATTCTCAGTGTCATATAATCTCCTGTACCCTTGTAGTTCTTTTGTTGCTTCACTATAAACTGTTCTTCTCCATAACTCAACAGTTGGAGCTGGTGAAATAGTTTCACGAAGGATGAGATGCTTGCCATCAGAGAAATTCAGAGAATTCAGTTCTCTTTGGAGAAACCTGATCACAGCTGATGCTGGCAATTTTCTTTTAACTTTTATTCCTATGGCTTTTATTTAGAAATTAAAATATTTTTTACTAGAAAAAAATCATGGAGGGTTTGTGGGATAATTACTGTGGCTTTTATTTAGAAGTTAAAATTCTCTCTACTAGAAAAAAAAATCATGGAGGGTTTGTGGGCTAATTACTTAGAGGCTCTCTCAAGTAGCTGAGGGATCATTTAGCAGCCAAAAATCTTTCTTTGATAATGTAATGCTAGAAAATAATGTGTATCATGGGTTTCCAGTGACATCTGAAAGATCAAAACTATGTTTTGTGGAAGGTCTAGGAAAAGCAAGACGAAATTAAGAATTATTACATTAAATGCAACATCAGAATACGTAAAGAAGCAGATTATGACAGAATGATTTTGAAGCATATGTTGCAACTTCCAAGACTTCAGTTTAGAACATTCACATCCAATAATTTTGCCTATGATTTTATTATTGAATAAAAGTATTCCGTGACAGGACTAAACCACATTGAAGCCCTTCTCTACAAGAAAAATTCATCAAGAACTTTGAACTTCGCATAGAATTTCTAGACTGGTTTCCTTATATGATTGGGCTAGCTGAAATACATTTATGACAAAGTTGGTTAAATGACATGCATTTTGAAACCAATTTGGCAGGACAAATAACAAGCAGTCTATTCACCACTAAGCACCATTCAACATGACAAGGAGTGGCGACAATTAAGAATACCTTTGTTCTGTCTGAAGTCATGCGCAGTACCACCGAAAGCTTGTAATAAAATCCATCCGCACCAAAGGCCTTGACGTCAACACGTTGCTGCAGGAAAGCCAAGTTTAATGAGAGTCGTAATTTTAGCCATTGTGAATCACCCAAAATTTATCCATGTTACCTTCTTTTCCAGCTCAAGAAGAGATATCCCAGAACTGAAGTTCTCAGAATTTTGAAGAGCGACAGCAATGCCCACCCGTGATGAAAGATAGGCATCATTACGCGATGAAAACAGCATGACACCACCGCGGCCAACATAGTGTTGTGGAGAAAGCATGCTGGGTGTTGGACTGGAATCTTCAATAACTTCAAGTACTTGAATGTTTTTCCTTGCACCTATCTGTCTACTGAGCACTGAAGTAGGGGGAGTTTTCAATGCTAGTTTAGCTGATTTAACAGCTCTGGAAAGTGAAAGTGAATCTACATCTGAGCTTTCCAATGGCTCAAATTCCACAACTTGATAAGACAAAAACAAGAATGAGTCATTGCTAATCCAATATGGAACAAAGAACCGTATGGTTTTAGGAGCAGCAGTAGTTCCTCCCATGTCACGTTCAACACTAATCCGCAACCTCCTGTACAAGGCATGATTCCATACAAACTAGTATCACATATAGTCTCCGCAAACAGATAATTACAGAGAAAAATCATGGTGTGCCATGTGTGTGCGTGCACGCGCAGGAGCATATACAAACGCACAAAGAGACCTATTTTCCACTTGGCATAGAAACATAGCTTTTTCCGTATAAATTAAATTTTTGTAAGAAATCAGCTCTTGTGTGATGAAGTGGAGGCTCGCTTCCGGTGTCTTGTGTGATAAGAATGTGCCGCTGAAACTTAAAGGTAAGTTCTGCAAGGTAGTAGTTAGACCGACTATGTTGTATGGAGCAGAGTGTTGGCCTGTCAAGAACTATCATCTCCAGAAGATGAAAGTAGCTGAAATGAGGATGTTAAGATGAATGTGTGGGCATACCAGGTTAGATAAGATTAGGAATTAAGTTATTCGGGATAAGGTGGGAGTGACCCTTGTGGAGTATAAGATGTGGGAGGCAAGGTTGAGATGGTTCAGGCATGTTAAGGGGAGAAGTATAGAAGCCCCAGTTAGAAGGTGTGGGAGGTTAGCCCTGGTGGGTAACAGGAAGGGTAGAGGTAGGCCTAAGAAATCTTGGGGAGAGGTGATTAGGCGGGACATGGCGCAGCTGGAACTGACCGAGGACATGGCCCTAGATAGGAGGGTGTGGAGGTCGAAGATTAGGGTAGAAGGCTAGTAGGTAGTCGAGCGTTTCTCTTTGTCTTACTCAGTTCGCTAGCATTAGTGTTAGTATGATATGCTTTTATTCATAGATTGCTATTACTACCTAGAGTTTAACTGCTTTTTTTGGTTTCGGTCTTTTTATCTTGGTGTTGTTCCTACTTGTTGCCATTACTTTTTTTCCATCCTTTTTCCAGCCGAGGTTCTATCGGAAACAACCTCTCTGCCCTTCCAGGGTGGGGGTAAGGTTGCATACATCTTACCCTCCCCAGACTCCACTTGTGAAAAATCACTGGGTTGTTGTTGTTTTAAAAATGCAGCTCTTGTGTAATGGAAAGACTGAGGTCTAGCTTGGTAACTCCTGAAACAAGATTGAAAACCACCAAATGGAACCATCCATCTCCCACTCACAGAGGAAGAGAAAGGGAGGAAACCGAAAGGCACAAGATTACCACACATGCACCTTACAGGCAATAAGTGAGAAGCACATTGATAAAACTCCTCGTCAGACTACTAAGATCATATGCGAATTATTTTTCTTAAAGGTCATTAGGAGAACAAAAAATCTCATTGACAACTACTAATTTAGATTAGTCATTTGATAGTGCAAGGAATGTCAAACCGGACTTTTCCATTGGACTATATTGCATGGATGTGTATCGCATGTGATAGTTTCGAGAATAAAGAAAGAATATTTTCTTATTCAAACCCAAAACTTTTAATAAACATAGATAATACATTTCAAACTTTTGTTGTCATAGAGTTAGCATCCCATATTGGTTGAGGGAATGAGTTGTGGCCTCCTTATATGGTCTCGGACAATCTTCTACCCATGAGCTAGTTTTTGAAGTCAAGGTAGCCCAATGTCCATTTTCTAAATAATTTTCAAAACTAGGAAAATCACTATTTTGTAGGCTTTTTTGATTTCTAGGCCAGAATGTTTTCTTTTGATTAACAACAACAACAACAACAACAACAATAATACTAAGAATAATAATAACAATATTATTATTATTATTATTATTATTATTATTATTATTATTAGTAATTAGTAATAGTAATTTAAAGTAGTTATTAATAAGACTAAAAAAGAGTTGTTTACATTTATTGCTGTTCTTACTTTGCTTTCTGCCTATATAGTTTTGCATTAGGGTGGGCTTTATGCTTTGGCACACTTCTTTGATAAAATTGTTAATGGGCCTTGTATTTTATGAAAGAATTTGCCAGAGTTTATCCAATGGGAATAATTTGACAGAGCACCATGCTAAACTTTCTATCTAATTATTTTGTTGTCAATAGATTTCTCGCTGCATCCTATCGTAAATGAAGTATTATTATAATTGCTACAGTGTATAATTATTTTAGAGCTGAATGACACAAAGCATTAATATAGCCAAACCCCAAGTAACTCCGGTTTGGGGTAAAATTAATTCATTGATGTATTTATTTGTTTGTTTGTTTCAATTATTTTTCTAAGTTCTATATTGATGGCCATTTTTGCTGGTGGCCAACTTTGAACACCAAAAAAAAATAAAAAAAAAATACAGTGAGGATGTTGCTCAATGAGCCATTTCTTGGTGCATATACTTCTATGTCAAGCAATACAAACCTTTTTCTTTGTTGGTGAACCATAGAAAATGAAGAAGCATGATTGTTACTCGTAAGANGTCAAGCAATACAAACCTTTTCCTTTGTTGGTGAACCATAGAAAATGAAGAAGCATGATTGTTACTCGTAAGATCCAAGATGAGTACGGGGTCCTGTTTGCATAAAGGAAAAAAGCTGATCAGAGCAGGTCTACTAACAAAAAACTTTTCTTGCAATGTAAAAATGCTATGTACATGTGTGTGTCGGTGTGAGGACACCCATATGATATCCAGAAGCATAAATATGAAAATATTTACTCCAGGAACAACTACCTTTTCCATAAACCAACCACCTTGAACAAATAACATCAGATATATAGGATTGCGCACATCCGCAGAATATATATGCACGGTCTCCCGGGATGACATAAAACCCCGATGTCGCTCTACAGTGTTGCCATCTTTCAGTTTTTCCCAGATCGTGAAGTCAGCTCCACAAGGAAGCCGATTCTCCAATTTCAAGGGAGAACTAATTGATAGTTTCCAATCATAAACTGGGGCATTTAGCTCTGTGTGAAGAACAGAGGCATCTGTACCAACACAGAGCCAAAGCTGTTTACCACTGCCACCAGGACAACATAAAAGTAGATCCATTTTCTCAAGCTGGTTTAGCTTCAGTGCAGAAATAGGTATTTTGTTTCCCTGCCTTGCAGTATTTTGTCGAGAAAGTGCACTGCTTTCGATAGATGTTTGGTCCTTACCCAAGCCAAAGACAGAGCCCACAGCAATAGGACGACCCCACGAATAAGGAGTCTGAGAATAACCAAGGCATGGACGAACTTGTAAACAGTGGTTAGAGTCCTTGGACATGCATCTCCAAGGTAAGATAGCCGAAGAACCAGGACTAGTAACAATGTGATCTGTGTTATTTGCACCCCTCTCCTTAACTTGCTGCCTTGTACGAGTCCAACGTCTTCGACGAACAGTATTGTGAGCTGACTTTGTGCTACACTTGGAAGAATTTGGTGGCCACTTCAAGGTTTGAAAATCAGGTCCATATGCCCATCCATCAATGTTAACAAACTGAGATTTGTCAACCGTCCAAGACGATATCCATTTCCATCCAGGAGGTAGGGTAGGTTCAAAAAAGTCCTTTCACAATAAAAGAGGAAAGGTCAACAAAAGCTAATCAACATCAACTATTTTAAAAGCAGAAGTCAGGTAATACCCACATTTGAGGAATAGGCATAATCCCTAGTGCTCCACCGCCCTGGGTCATTTCCACCAGAAACTGGATGATTGCGTTGATTCTCAAAAATCTCCTCAACAAATATGCTATAATTTCTACCTTCTGAAGACAGATCCTGAGTATGAATCATGGACTCATGACATGATGAAATATCCAATGTGATATCTGAATCATTCGTAACTGTAGCGAGTGCCCGGAAAATTATGTGCTTTTTTCCATTTTTGGTGACAACCTCTAAAGCCACAAAATCATCTCCCAATGTTTTGGTGACCACTGATAGCGGTAGGAAGGAGCGGATGCTCTCCCATGGACCTTTAGGTGTAAGTCCTACCCAAAACCCTGTATCACTAGCACCACTCTTTTCTCCCTCGTCATTTTCAAAGTTTAATACGATTTTCTTCTCAAAGTACAACGTTGAGACAAAAAGGCAGCCACAAGAATTTGTCTCATTACTGTTAAGTTGGCCCTGGAAATCATATTGATATGAGCACAGAAAGATGTAATATTGTCACAATAAAATTTCCAAAATTACAGAAACAGAAAAGAACCAAGATGAAAGACGCGGCAGTGCAACTAACCCTTCTTCTTAAAGGATAACATCCAAAGTTTTCAACGTCAGACACTTGATGCAGCATTCTGAGTGAAGCAACCTTCTTTAGAATACTTGGACCATGTGCGACGGAAAAGGACGATGCGCCAACAACCTCACCTGCATTGAAATTATGCAATGACAAATTTTAGAATCAATTAATCGAACGAATTCCATTTAATAAAACCAAACTCCAGCCTCGCTGATCTGTTTTTAGAGGAAGTCAAATAACTCTAACTTCTCGTAGACCAAGAAATGATATTGATAAGAGATGGAGTAGAATGAGGGAGGCTAAGGTACACTGAAGTGATAAAACTAGCTAATAAAAGAAAAGTAAAACTCCAAATCATGAGACTAAGAAATTTGAAGTTCCGCAAACTACAGCATTTATGATGAACAATCCTTCAGAACAGAAGAAACTTCCTTCAATATTATTTTTTTTGGAGATGGAAGAAACTTCCTTCATTTTCAGTTAAGCTATAGCTAAACAAAATTGCAAAGAAAAGCTTTTTCCCTTCCAATTTCCATACAAAAATCAGAAAGCTGTAACAGTGACTAATTTCTTTGGCATGCATTCTGAGACAGAAAATTGAAATACAAACCAAGAGATACACCATTTATGTAACCGAAAGTATAATATCAATACGGGGAGAATAATTTAAGATTGTAATTTTTCATTTTCCTTAACAAATAAATAGATTAGGAGTTTATAAGGAAGAACAATATGCTTTAAAGCACCAAGTTACCTTTTCCGGCCTTTGCAGAAAGGTTTGTCACCTCCACTTCCAGCTTTGCCAGCCCCTATAAGAAAATGGAAGGTTGATTTTAAGAATGGAAAATGCTTATTGGATGTGCTGAAAGAAATGTAATGCTCCCAGTAACTATAACTTCCACCACAGGTGGAGGATTTGGACTGAGAAAAGATTGAGAATGTTTCCAAGTAGGCGAATGTCTTCATGTAATCATGTTATTCATGGGATAAAGCAGGTTTTTGGCCATTCTGTTTAAGAGTTAAGACTACCTTATGGTGTTCAAGAATAGCCTTAAAAGACATCCAAAGATATGGGAAAGCTCTACTGGTACTATGTATCATCCATACTCATTTACTGACACGTTGTTCTCGCCCTCCTACTCTTATTTCTGTTTCATTACAAAGTTTATGCAACTGGGGAAAAAAGAGTGCCTACAAGTACACATCTCTCTTAATCCATTCAGCCAATTACCTTCAAAGGAACTTCAAATATGAAGAGTTCATTCCATTTAGCGGTGCCTTCATCCACGTTATTTTTTCTAGCAATTACTGGCTTCACACATTTCGTCCTTGCACTCTGAGGAAAAAGCTTTTGTTGATTTGAATCCTGATTCTCCACAACCAAGCGCAAAGCGCAGAAGAAGTTATGGCTATTGCCGTCATCATTGACAGGCAGACCCTGTTAGAGAGAGAAATAAAATGAGAACCTCATAAGCAACTAAGGTTCAATGACAGCAAACCCCACTAATAGAAATCAGTATGTCAACCACCTTGGCTTCAACTATCTGAACAGCAGCATAACGTCGAGGTTCCCTTGACTCATTGGCAACATTTAATCTGTCAGAATGCCTTGTAGGTGGAATCCATACAGAAACAGAATTATCAAGAGGTAGTAACTCAAATACATCTGAGTTTTGCTCAACTTTTTTCAGGTACATATCACACCCAAGTTTATTTTCGACCACCACCGTCCGAAAGTCGTCGTCATCCAGTGCCACAAAACTAGTATTATCTTGATGTGCATCCCCAGAACGAGCTTCCTGCAGAAGCAAGAAATAATCAGAAACATACCAACAGTAACTGAAGCGTATCTTGAGCATCACACAATCACCTTAATCTTAATTGCTTTCTTTTCCAGTTCTCTCTGCTTTCGCCATGACTCGACAGCTTGCCCCAATACATCAATATTTGCTGCACTCAGATTTATGTTCAAAATGCTGGTTGCTGCAACTCTTACCCTTGTACCAACTCTTGAAGGCGGATGTAAATTGGTCTCATAAGTCTCAAACCTGCAAAATGAAGAATAACAGATGTGGTAAAGCAGCAACAACAGAAGAAAATGTGTCAACATAGTAACAAATGACAATGGGTGCATGGTGAATGATATTACTTAAATATTCCATCAAAAGACTCAACAAGTGGCTCCCACGCTTCTAATTGCGTGTTGAAGGTGGAAGCAGCCATTGAAGAAATGAGAACAGCATTCATTGCTTCTAGTCGCCCATGTGTTGCAAGCTTAATATTAGTGATTGTTGCATCAAAAAGAGGTGTTACCTGAAAATACAATAAATGCACAAATAAATAGCCAAAAATGGAGAAAAATCATATAAGCTAACAGAGTTTCTTAGGGCTACAGACCATTCCGCATAAGCTGTCCAATAGAGTCACAGAAAAGCATCTGATTTTCATGTCAGCTGTTATGTTGTCCCTTGTCTTTGGCTTCACTGAATCACCAAGAGTAAATGCCAATCTACTGGAAGGTTTTTTCAGATCAGAGCGTGCAAGGAAAGTGCAAGCCTGTAATGCAGTACAGAACTATTGTGTGGTCAAGGAACGTAAACAGCAAGTCAAGGAAGTATAAGCCACTCTGGATTTACACATTCCAGGGGAAAATAGAGCAACAATGCAACAGATACTACAATTGAGGATGATTAAGATAAAATAATAAAAGGGCACATGCAGAAGATAATAACTCTGACCTGATTGTCAACTTTCCAAATGCTCCAGCACTGAAAAGCTCTGGAGCCTGAAGATCTTGAAATGGGCATCTCAAGAACATTAGCTTGACTAACAAGATCCATCCTTGGGCAGCAAAAATAATCCAGATCAGGTGCTTCATTGCTACGTGTCACTACACAACCCAAAGCAGCATAACCAGGAGGAGCAACTGGGTACCAGAAGAAAGCTTCCTCCAGTCCCTTGCCCGCAATATGAGCAACTTTTGTAAATTGCACAGGCTTTGCAGAAAGTTCAGGGTTGTCAGCCTTAAAGATTATACCAAGGGGAGGTGGTTCTAAGCTGAAGCAAAGGAATCATCCCACATGTCAAACAAGATGTACTGGTGTAAAGCAGGCAAAGTAGAATCAAGGAAAGCAAAATAAACAACTAACCCTTCGGTAATACAGTCCCCCAGTACTGCATAACAAGGACGTCTTATAGGTCTCCATATAGAGACTGCAGGGCGAAGATCACTACCCCTGTCCCACCAGATCCGCTCAAAGTTTGGAGTTGAAATATAACAAGAGGTTGCTTTAGAAATCGATCTGATAATGTCCCATCCTGATGAAGTTGCACTCTGTTTACTTGTCTGGAGATGCAGGTGCTCGCTCTCACTAGTTAAATCTATAGTAGGTACTTTTAAGGAAGAATTATACCAACTTGAGCTCAGAAGAAGAAGATTATTCAGATCAAAACAACAGCTTTTATGAGGATGACTACTAGATGGATGGGCATAGAATGACCCAAGAGCATTATCCAAACGCCAAATACTGAAACCTGAGGTGAATGCAGTATTAGCAGCAATGCTGAAGATACATTCCAAAAGCATCGTTGATGTTACCAAATCAGAACGTATGCAATGAACTATGTGATTAGGAGGTGGTTGTGTTCCTACATGAGCAACACAACCCATTGTGACATATCCAGGCGGTGCAATAGGCAGCCAAAGAGAACAATCATCAGCATCTTGTGCCTCCTCAGATTCTTGAATATCAGAAAATAAACCTATCAGCCTGAAACCAAGGGGCTTCCTAACACGCCCATATGTATTGCTCACAGCGACAACAGCTTGTGACGGAGGATTTGGTCTGACATGAGTGAAATGATCATGCATTAGGCAAGACATTTAGATTCTTCAAGCAAAAAACAAACATAATTATTGCTTAAATATTGCTTCTATGTCCAATAACATGTTCTTTGAAAAGACAACAATACCCGAACTTATATGGCACAAGAATACCGAAGAAAAACTACGTCAACCAAAAAGCTACTACGTTTCATAAAGGTGTTAAAGTTCAAATAATGACAGTTGAACTGAAATTGAACTTGTAATGACTACAAAGATACTTCAGAGCATATGGATGGAGGAAACATTGAATAAACAAAATTTACGGTTTACAACCATACATCTTGCTGAAGGTTCATTGTTTGATCCTAGACTACAAGCAATGGAGAACCAGCAGCAAAATTAAGCACCACGGTGAAGAATCCAATGCTCTAACTCCAAAAAACAAGCCTTGCCAACAATTGTTCTATGCATATCACCAGCAAAATAAAGTTCCATTTTTTTACTTCAGCTGTTTATTTTAAGCATGGTAGTATACTTCTGGTGCAAAAAGAAAATTTCTAACAGTTCTAAACAGGATCATTTAATCTGACCAATCTTCTGATGTAACAACAGATACAAGGCTGTATTACTTGCCTATAGCTATTGGGGCATCTGAGATGCTATTATGCAGTACCACCAGCATGATATTTAAAAGAATAGAATAAACTACTACATAAGTTTTTCATTTCAGTTAATGAAAGTTGTAAAATTGGGTATGAAGCTTCACTCAGTACAATAACAAGCGACATGATATGAACCATTATACAAATGTTGTACGGTTTCAATGACAGCTAAAACCCTAATTATACTGAATTATATCAGTGCTCTTTGGAGCAGGGGAAAATCATTATCCCTGAAATCATAGCATTACCAATCCTATATCAACTCGCCCAGATAAAATGAAAGCATCAAACGTCTTCCACTAAAAGATTAACAAAGAATCAGGTACCAACAGTATGAAAATATTGCATTTGAAATTCGCAAACAAAGTAGGAGAAATTTCGAATTAATCAAAGCGGTCGCACACTTTATGGATCTTCTAACCTTGATGTGACACAATCTCCCAGAATAACATAGTTCGACGGTGCTCTGGGCCTCCAGAATGTAAGGTTGTTAAGACGCCCATGTTCTGCGCAAGTGCAATAGAATCAAACATCCAGATGAATAACAGAACAGATTAACAACAACGAATTTATAAGACATGGAAAAAAGAAATACCTTTGGGACAAACCCAAATTCTATCAAACTGAGTGCAAGGCAACAGGGGATCAGCACTCCCAAAATGTAAAGCAGTGGTTGCCTGACTCTGCAAATTGAGTAGAAGGGAGACAACACCAAGAGATAGGTGGGCACATATATCCGTTGACAATAAAGATATATTTGTTTTATCCTTCACAGAAGTATATCCTCCAGATATATCAACTGGGTCAATAATAATAAGACCAGAACCAGCCTCAATAGTTAAATCCTTTACAAGTCCCCGGATCCATGTATCATTTTCTTTAGCTGCATACCTGTTGCATCAAATCTATAAATATCTGGAAAATGAAATATAATAACTGGGAAACAATGGTAGCTTTCAGTGACAAGCATCTTACATGAAGTTAAGGTCCATTTTCGCCCGGAGGAGCTTCTCACCATGAGCAAAGTCATCCAAAGATGATTTACTACTATCATAAAATGTGAATTCAGGAGAGACAACCTGGGAGAGGCAATATAGCAATCAATCAATTATGCCTCAATCTAGAAAAAAAAAACTTAGATGTTAAGAAACAGAATGATAGTGTTTAAGAACTGACCAAAAGCCGGTGAGCTGTAACAATCACAACTAGAATACAAGAAAGAAGTTGGAAGAAAAAAGAGAAGGAAACATATATGCAACAAAAACAACGAAGAACAATAAGTATTTCTGATCATCATGAAGTTACCAGAAATTTGATGCAGTGGGTATAACTCTGCAAATGAAATCAACGGAATACAACGACAACAACAACTACGCCTCAGTCTGAAACAAGTTGGGANGTAGGTCTTTCGAGACAAGTTCCTTCTATGTGATTTTTAGGTCTACCCCATCCTTTTTTAACACTTTCCATCACCATAGTTTCACACCTACAGACCGGTGCATCAATAGGTCGACGCAGGACATGAACATGACCAACCATCTCAAGAAAAATGAAATCAACGGAATGCCAAGATAACAAGTTGAAGAAGTAAAATCAGTGTTCCTACTTATGAAATACCCAACAGGTAGAGTGTTTGTAGGGAATTAAATGACATCAGCTTTCAACTATCCAACCACAACAATGAACTGATTATGACCGAAGGTGAGGAAAAAAAGATGGAAAAACAATGCTGCGGTCTGAAAGCTTCTTCAACAACACTACCTCCATACCATATTACTTGCCTTAACTTTCCAGTGGTTCAAACTCAAGTCGCTTCACTATCTAGAGTTTGACCGGGCATGTTAGATATTGAATCCCTCATCTGAACATTGCCCCGTCACTGATCCAGAAAGTCTTTTTCTTCATGCTATCAGACTCCCTCCTTTGACAATTGAATTTCCTGTCACTGTTCCAAGGGAACACAATTTCTCCTCATGAATTCAGGATATATATATATATATGGATCTTTCTCTTCCATTGTGCCCTATCTTTAGCTAAGTCTGCATTGATTCAAACATTTGTAGGTCTTTCGAGACAAGTTCCTTCTATGTGATTTTTAGGTCTACCCCATCCTTTTTTAACACCTTCCATCACCATAGTTTCACACCTACAGACCGGTGCATCAATAGGTCGACGCTTTGTAGGGAATTAAATGACATCAGCTTTCAACTATCCAACCACAATAATGAACTGATTATGACCGAAGGTGAGGAAAAAAAGATGGAAAAACTTTTTATGTATGTTACCAAATGTTGCGGTCTGAAAGCTTCTTCAACAACACTACCTCCATACCATATTACTTGCCTTAATTTTCCAGTGGTTCAAACTCAAGTCGCTTCACTATCTTGAGTTTGACCGGGCATGTTAGATATTGAACCCCTCATCTGAACATATCCCCGTCACTGATCCAGAAAGTCTTTTTCTTCATGCTATCAGACTCCCTCCTTTGACAATTGAATTTCCTGTCACTGTTCCAAGGGAACACAACTTCTCCTCATGAATTCAGGATAGAACAATTATCCCGTTATTTTTCCTCATGGTGCGACAGAGAGGTTGGTACAAATTACTCTGACTTGTCTTTTCAGTGATTTAAAAACCACTTTGAGTTAGGGGAAGCGTGTTGTAAGTCAAGAATTAATGACATCATTTTTATTATGACGGTGGACTCCCAACCAACTTGCATGCACCTCAACTGATCCACTAGGTAGCCTACTACAGCCCACAAGCGCAGGTGCTGGATAATATTGTCACACGAAGATGGAGCAGATGGGCTCAAACTGAATGTTGTAGCTGGACTTTAAACTTGGTATTTTCATGATGTTACTTCTATCCCTTAATCACTCAAACACCCCATTGCCGACTAGCATAAATAATATCATGTGTCTAGATTTATTTAACTTAAATATTTGAATATTGGAGAACATTTTCTACGATTCTGCAGAATATTATGCAATTATAGCAGAATACTTAACTTGCTAGAATTAGAGAATAACTACATATTATATTGTACTAAGTTAAGACTAAGGAATAATTCCTCTACATTGTTAGTCAAGCAAGTCATTAAGAAGTTTTTTCCTCTTCTCTCTCCTTTCACAGTTCAGTATAAACATAAAATGATGATGGGTCTTGTCACTCCATATGACCAAATAAGAGAATAACTACATATTATATTATACTAACTTAAGAGTTTAGACTAAGGAACACTTAAGCAAGTCATTAAGAAGTCTTTTTCTCTTCTCTCTCCTTTCACATTACTGTAACAACAACAACAACAACAACAAACCCAGTGTAATCCCACAAATAGGGGTCTGGGGAGGGTAATGTGCACGCAACCTTACCCATACCTCATGCAGGTAGAGATGTTGTTTCCAGTAGACTCTCAGCTCCAAGCAAGCATGTAAATCACAACGGTATAGAGAAGAAATACAGAAGTGTAAAAGTTAGGGAAGCAGTAACAACAGCAAAAAAATAGAAACCAAAAACACAAGCAACATCAGGTTGTAATAGAATTTTAAGCATATGAAACTACTAAAAATACGCTACTACTACTGGAACAAGAGGGAAGATTTGCAATTGCCTACTAGCCTTATACTCTAATCCTCGCCCTCCACACCCGCCTATCAAGAGTCATGTCCTCGATGAGCTGAAAATGCGCCATGTCTTGCCTAATCACCTCACCCCCAATACTTCTTCGGCCTACTTCTACTTTTCCTCGGACCCACCATCGTCAATTTCTCACACCTCCTCACTGGGGCGTCCGTGCACCTCCTCTTCACATACCCGAACCATCTCAACCTCTCTTCCCGCAGTACTGTATAAACATAAAATGATGATGGGTCTTGTGACTCCATATGACCAAAATAATCCACCAAAAAGAATGAGAGTTTAGGACCCTAGTTCCTCTCTTTACAGCAGATAGAGAGATAGCTTTGTGAGCCGACAACCAACCTTGTATACTTGATGGGTAAAGAAAAAGTTAACAATGACACCAACAAACTGCCAGCCCTAAAACAAAATTAGCTAACAGATGGTTAAACCTATGAAATCTGTTGACGATGCATTTTATCATTTTTGCAGATCAAATCACCAGTAAAGCACAATGATTTCTGTGAGAAGGCACGGGAGAAAATATGTTATTGATATTAGATGAACAATACAATACAAGAGGTCCTTATTTATAGCTATACTATACAACGACATACTACTCTTCTACCAATGTGGGACAATACTACACTATATATATGTTGTAAACTAACACTCCCCCTCAAGCAGGTGCATACAAATCATATGTACCGAGCTTGTTA